AAAAAAAAAAAAAAAAAAAAAAAAAAAAAAAAAAAGAGATGTGAAAAGTCAGGCAGACTGATAGCTATCAAGTAGATGTGTGCCTGCCCTCTGGGCCCTGGGGTGGGTGTGTGCAGTGACTGAATAGTCCTGGGGGTTCCCATCTTCATCACTCATGCACACATTCATGCAGCGTCTTGTGAACATCCCACAGAAGTAGTACAGGATGCTCTGCAAACCTTGGGGTAGGCACATGTTGGGGTCAGAGTATGCCTGACAAGGTCACCTATTATGTGTGATTTTATGTTGTATGATACATTCATACCATCTTTTGAATTATGTATGGGCTTTTGTTTTAATTTTCCTTATAACAAAAACTTTTTTTACTGATAATAATAATGTCTATTAACAACAGAAAAATATTAAGTACAGTAGGTAGCCTTTTCAGATTCCTTCTTTTGCCTATTAAGGAAAAAAGAAAATATAATTGTTTGAAATTGTACACCCAAGAGAAAACTGCGCTTAGCACTTAATCATCTTTTTGATGGTCTTTTGTGGAAACTGAAGGGGACTCCTCTCAATTTGGGCTTATAAGTATGTACAGCCTTGTGTTTGAATTTAAAAGAACTTTTTTGGAATTTTTCTCATGTCATTAAATATTTTTTGAAAACAAGTGTTGCATTTGCTCTCTCAATATGTATATTTTATTTAATTACTTGTGAACAGGTAACCTATTTCTGTTTTGTTACTGGCCTTGGTAAACATGAGAGTTATATTTACTAAAGAATAAGATCTGTTTTAATAATTTTTTATTTTATTGGACTCAGATGTAATGAAATAGCAGTGGATAAATATGTGAAACACAAGTTTTAAAAATTATTTTAAATCCATTGTGTGCTTAATGGATTCAGATTTGAATTTATCAATTGACTTTTACCTCTGCTGTTGATCACTTTGTGATGTCTTTTGACATACTCACATTTCCCCTCCACTCCATAAGTTTTATGCCTTATGTTTGGTGTGTGAGGCAGCTTTCTGTCTCCATTAAGGAGGCATGAAGTACAGGCTTGTGTTTGTTGTTTGCGGGCATTGTGACGGACTGTTTTGGACTTTGGTATGTGGGCATATTGAGTGATGGCTTTCACATTCATACACTCGTATTGCAGCTTTAAGAACTGTGTGGCACATTTGTGCTGACTTGGGAAGTTGTCAGTGGTATGTTAAATTTTTTAAGTTGTACAATATTTTATATATGGGTGTGATCATTATTGGGAATCTATAAAACTGATACGCAGATGTTTATATAGTAGGCAAAGAAGTAGAAAGATACTAAGCTATGGGCAGGGAATGATTTTTTTTCCTCTAAAGAGTAAGAGTTGGTAGAAGGAAGTAATTTAACTTACCACATTATGTATTTACACGTTTTGAACTTTTGATTAGTATATAACTTGCAGATTTTAAGAATAGAAAGGTAAGTTATATTTTAAAATTAAATGGTTACTTTTATAATTACTTGGTCACTTTCATATGAAATAGTAAGAAACTAACTGCTTTGGCTTTTTTTTTAATAGACTATTTTTTAGAGCAGTTTTAGGTTCACAGCAAAATTGAGAGGAAGGGACAGAGATTTCTCATATGTCCCCTCCCCCCTGACATGAACAGCCTCCTTCCTTATCAACATCCTGCACCAGAGTGATCCATTTGTGACAAATGATGAGCCTATGCTGACATGTCATCATCACACAAAGGCCGTAGTTGGTTCACTCTGGGTATTATAGTTTCCAAAAGTCTGGGCAAGTGTACAGTGACATGTGTCTGCCATTGCAGGATGGTACAGAGTAGTTTCATGCCCAGAAAATTTTCTGTGCTCTGCCTGTTTATCTTTCCCTTCCTACATCCCCTGCCAACTGCTGATCTTTTTATTGTTTCCACAGTTTTGCCTTTTCCAGGATGTCATATAGTTGGAATCATACAGTATGTAGCCTTTTCAGATTCCTTCTTTTGCCTAGTAATGTACATTTAAGTTTCATCTAGGTCTTCTCATGCTTAATAGAGCTCATTTCTTTATAGTGCTCAACAATATCCCATGTGTGACCATTCTACTGAAGGTCATCTTGGATGCTTCCAAGTTGTAGCAGTTATGAATAAAACTGCTATAAATGTCTGTGTGCAGGTTATTGGGTGGACATAGTTATCAACTCCTTTGAGTAATGGCCAGGGTGTGCCATGGCTAGATCATATGATAAAAGTATGTTTAGTTTTGTAAGAAATTGCTGAACTGTCTTTCTAAGTGGCCATACCATTTTTCATTCTTACCTGCAACAGGTGAGAATTCCTGTTGTCAGTGTTCTGAATTTTGGCCATTCTAATAGATGTGTAGGAATATGTCCTTGTTTTAATTTGATCTTCCCTGACAACATCTAATGTGTTTGCTTTTTAGGGTGAAATGGTGGTAAAAAACAATCCAGATGAACCTGTAACTGCTGTTGCTGCCTCCAGTTCCTCTTCTTGTACAAGAGGTAAGGGTGGCTACAAAATACTATTTTTAAGAATGAGTTGTATATTTTCTAAGTTCATTTCAGATAGTCAAGTGCAGTAGTGAGAAGGGGAGAAAGAATAAACAAGGAGTTCAATCTGTAACTAAACTATGAATTTTTTTTTTGGCTTTTTTAAAAATTTCTTATAGCATAACTATGTACATTAATCCAATCATGGGGTACAGTGTGCTGTTTTCATATACATTTTGAAATACTCTCATCAAACTGGTCAACATAACCTTCATGTCGTTTTCCTAGTTACTGAGTTAAAACGTTCATACTCTGCTTTTAGAAAGATTCACTTGTACCCTTGTAAGATAAACCATAGAGGTG